TTTTTTTTTTTTTTTTTTTTTTTTTTATGAAAACGCATGTGGCATGATTCTCCTCGAGGGAACTCTCGGTTCTTTTTTTAATTCCTCTTTCTTTTCCTTTTTTTAAACGTCGAGAAGAGTCGGAGGGACAAAAAACAGAAAAAAAAAAAAGGGAAAGGGTGCAACACTTGTTCGTTTCCAACCATAACTTTGCTTGGTTGTTTGTTCGTTCGTTCGTTCGTTCGTCGTCGTCATCGTTTCGAGCGATGAAACTTTACTGCCGTAAAATGTATTTTTATCTCTACGGTATCCATGAGTTTTTCCTTTCAAATGTTCATATACATATATATATATATGTATATGCGTATGCACCGATGGGGAAGAAGTTAAACAAGTCGTCGGGGTCTTTTCTACCAACACCTGAAAGATTTGTCGCTCACGGTTCCTATGGATGCATTAACCCGACTCTAATTAACATCACTAACCAAAGCAAATCCTTTTCGCTAAATGACTTGCCTGATACATACAACACACACGTATATATATATATAAATGTATGTGTGTATTTATATAGTACGTTGTAGCATGCTACGAGAAAGTTACGCGTCACGCAATGACGATCGTTTTAATATTTCCATAAGCGAAGGTATATCATTTTTTATAAATACTTTTCTCTTATGAATTATTTCGAAATTATTATAAAAGAAGAAGAAGAAGAAGAAGAAATAATAAAAAGTCTCTTCGATAAAATTATTTTTCGAGAAAATCGATCAACTCGACGTGTTTATCTCTTAATCCTCTCACTCTCACTCTCTCTTTCTTTCTCTTATTATTGTATTTTCCTTACCCTACCACCCCTACCACCTCCAGCCCTCCACCCCTAATCGTGTATATCAATTTACGAGCTCGTTAATATTTTCACCCAAAACCGCCTTCACTTTTCTCATTAATTTCTTGGCTCGTTAAACGGGGATCCATAAATCGCGTCACTTACATGAAAGCTTCTGAAGTGTCGGTTTAATTAATGAGATTGTATTTATATACACTTTTAATTCGGAACGAGAGCTCAGATTTTAACGAGAAACTTCCTTCAAACGTTTCTGTCTGTCTTTCTTTCTTTTCTTTTCTTTTTTTTTCTTTGTTCTCGATTTGCATATCTATCCGTTTACTTTTACAATGATCTAATATTCCACAAGGTAGTCATTAGAAAATATATAAGTATCTTCAGGTAAGTAAGTAAGTAAGTAAGTAAGTATGTATGTTAGATATGGTTTGAAAGTTAGCATGATGTTGCAGGAAAGATGGGAAATACCGAGAACGTTATTCAAGTTTAATATCACAGTTATTTCATCTGAATGTTGTTCTACTACCGACGTATGTTCTAATCAGAGTAATCGTTTAATCGCGCCGATTACTCTTTCAAAGACATAGAATTTAATCGCGAGATGCTATTGCTGCTGCTGTTACTATTGCTGCTAAGTTATTACGAAGAAAACGTAATATGATCATCGCATACATTTCAAATGTGACTGTGCGAATTTCCCTTATTTCTGTTTTTGCTAAATATGACACGCGAATATTCATGTCTAACGTGAACACGAACAACAACAACAAAAATGTTAAGAGAGTGTAGTGTATATACTTATTAGTTACCTACTACCTGTTCATTAGTAAGATAACACAGATTCATAAATTATTACATTTTTATTCACTTCTCTTTTGATCTTTTTTTGTCGAAGAAAAATATACGGTCTTGATCGAAATATAAATGGCCAATAACAACAAAAATGTTCCTTTTCCCCCTATGCCATTTAATTTTATTATTAGTTATTATTATTATTTTTTTGTTTTTTTTCTTTAAATGACTCAAGGACGTTGATAGTGATCTCTCGGAAGATGGATGAACGCATGGTCAATTTTAATCGAGCACTAAGGTCAATGATTGGCCGATTGGGTTCACCAGTTGGTTAACCAATAGTCAGGCCGCTGTTGTCCTGTGTTCAGCTAATAACTTAATGACGGGAATTCGCCACTTACGTTCTATTTTTTTTTTGTTTTTCATTCTTCCTCCTTTACTCTCTTTCTCTTCTTCTTCTTTTTCTTTTCCATCTTCTTTATCTACAATTCTTTCCTTCTTTCCTTTCTTTCTTTACTTTCATCCTCTCTTTTACTTTGATTGGCAATACTAGCCGAGTAAAACGATATCCACTTGGCAAATGGGAAACAATGTTGAAAATTGGATGATCCTTAAGTGGAATATCCATTAACATTTATTGCATCGAATGAACTGTTTACGATCGGTAAATTTATGTAATATATATGTGTATATATAATACATCATATACACTACCAGCCAAAAGTTTCGAAATATTTGCTGATTTTTATTTTATTTTATTCTTTTTATATATATATATATATATTTAAAATTGCAATTTGAAGAATAAAATTCATTCTTTGTTAAAAAAAAAGAAAAGAAAAAGTAATACAAAATATAAAACATATTACTACAAAAATGATATTGTTGACAAATAAATCTACTTTTTATTCTATATATATATATATAAAGGTATTTTATATTAAATTCTTTTCTAAATTATTCCATTTTTATTTTTTCTCGAATTATTTATCCAATATCCATTTGAAACTTTTATCGGATAGTGTACGTAAATACACTTACACATACGGATATTTAAATGAATTCACATTAACTCGATATATTCGAGATTATTGGATCGTTTAAATTCGCATGCAAGATCTTATCGATAATTATGCTAATGAGAAAACATAGAATATAATCTGTAATCGAATTAATACAAGCTGTGTGTACCACGATTTTATTTTCTTACGATACCTCCTCTCAAACGCATTATTTCAAGGATAGGAAAATAAAATAGAAAAAAAATAACAATGTTGTCGATCTTCTTCCAAAGCTTGAATTGGATGCTTTGCGCATTTCAATGGGAACTCTTCAATCCACCCTCTTAACCCCTCTCACCCTCTCATCATTTCTTGAAAGAATACTCGTCGACGTCCTTCCCGACGGTTTCTCATAATAACAGGAAGTTATTACTTGACGATCACGAATCGTCATCCCGCGGATAATTATTATTCATCGGCAATCTAACAATGCCGTGTTCTTTCAACGCAGGGACGAATTTAGATTTTTTAAAACCCCTATATAGTGTGTGCAACGTTAATATAAATTTCTTAAAAGTATCAATTTATTTTACGTTAGTTGATCTATAATTTATCAGGATTCTTTTTTCTTCTTGTAAATATAATTGCAAAAAAAAAATAATAAAATATAAAAATATAATATATAATATAAAGATAATATTGTTTGCAATTATTTTGCTAAATGATTTAAATGAGAAGAAATAAATTATACGATTATAAAATTATATTTTTGTCTGGTTTTGATCCTTTATAGTCAAAAAATATATTAGGCAATTTAAAAAATTAGTTAGTGGCGTGATTGTAAAATGTGGGTCCTTTTAATGCGCATTATGATAAATGCGGTTCTGATTTTGTAGGATCAAACAACGAATCGTCTTTTCAATTTCCATTAAAGTCACTTTCATGGAGTTCCAATTTATTGTCTTATACGGCTACGGTATCATCCCTATTCTACTAACTGAAATCAATTAAACGCTCTAGTGGTAGCTTCGCTTCGATAATTTCTGTCTCCTGTCCATGTTCATTCAAGCAAAACGTTCTCTCAATCGAAAAAGAGTTTCGAGTGCTGCAGTTGTTGATGGTGGTGGTGATGGTGGTGGTGGTGGTTTTGTGCTTTACTTTTGCGTTTCCTTCTGCAATCGATTCAAATGGTGCACGTGCTTTGTTTTTAGATAATACCTTTTATGTATCGGAATTCGTGAAGAAGCACTCTCGATTAAATCTCCGACTTTTATCCGCAAAACTTTTTCTGTTATTTTATTCTTCCACTCTTTCTTTTTCTATTTTTTGTTTTGTATTTTCTTCGATAAGTTACAACAAGTTTAAATACTTTCCTAAATCGTTGAACTTAAATATTTTATTTAATCGAAACGAACGCTTGCTTTTAAGTAATTGCGTTTAATGTTAATCAAACGCGATTTGGCCAATTTTAACAATTGCTTTTATTCATCGCGTGTCTCTTTGCTACTAAAAATGCTGAGCCAAGTTTTACGTAATGGAAGGAAGAAGTTCCTTCAAGAGTTTTCTTATCACTCGAAACAGAACGTTTGTTCGCGCAGGTACAATAGAACATAGTGCACAACGCGATTTAATATATTTTTTCTTTTCTTTTCAAATCTTCATTTTTCAATTTTTTTTATCGTAAACGTAAATTTGCTCGTCGCGATTATTTGCCTTTTTTTTTACAACGATTTTCACGTAGTTTACGTTTAGATTTTTCGTATTAATAGTTCGCGATAAGAGTTGATCATACGAGAAGAAGAATGGATGTGAGTGTGTTAGAACAATATCTTTTTTAATCAATTTATCTAACATTATATTATACTGAATAACATATAAACATTTTTTGCAAACGTATATTACTATATTTTAAAATAAATAAATAACTAAAAAAAAAAAAAAAAAAGAGAGAATAAAATTCACGCATATTAAACTAATTCAAAATAATGAAAAAAAAAAGAATAAAAACATTTACTTTTCAAATAAATAAAATAAAACGAAACGTGTGTGGTACACAAAAATCTCGAGGAGTTTTAAATGTGATATTTTGTAAATACAAACAACGTTTAAACGTTTTAAAGTGGATTGACATAGAAGATACGATTTTATTTTACAGGAACAAATCACCGAGAATAGTACGTCGACGTTGCAATGGCCAGACTATTTAGTCCTTGGTACAGTCCTGTCGATCTCTGCCAGTATCGGGATTTACTATCGATTTACTGGAGGTCGACAACGAACAGCTGAGGTGGTTACCAGACAAGAAAATTAATTTCAACGTTGAAATGTTCAGAAATCAATCTAGCTTTCTCTTTATTTCTCCTTCTTGCTTTTTCACATATTTCGATCAGATATAATTGATAATTCATGTTAAAACACACGAGCTAAAAGATCTTGATCCTTAACGATAGATCGTTTATGTTCCGCGTTCCTTATCCATAACGATCTAACTCACGTAAATAAATATTATCAAGTATATAAATTAGCAAACTATAGATCGCACGCCAGTAAATTATCACTCTTACCTACCTCGTGCCACAGAGAGAACGATTTCCCAAATACTCGTGTGGACGCTAATTAACGCACAACTATCATTACCATCTGATTCCTATATGCGATAAATCTTGACCGGTAAGAGAACTCTTGTTAATAAGAGATAGATATATATCATCGTTTATTTTTTTTGTTTCTTATTAATTCACGTTTATAAACCTATATACTTTCACATATATAATCGAGATTTAATTTACGTAAAACGCGTTTCGATTATATACCAATATATATATATATATATATCTTTACTTAATCGTTGATAGTTAATATTAATCATGAAAATAAATACGCGTAATTATTATTTTTCTAATTAAAAACATTAAATTATATTAATTTTTTTATTTTTAATGTGTTTTGTTAATCGCATTAATTTCATATTAATTTTCAATCCATCGAGACATATTTTTTGATCGTTCAAACTAACAACAATGAATATATTTGTTAGATTATTTTATGATCGATATAATATAATATTTGATCATACACAACACAGGAATATTTCTCAGCCGATCGATCTATGAAAATCGTTCCATTGGCAATAGCACTGATGGTTTCCTTTATGTCCGCGATTACGCTACTTGGAATCAGCGCGGAAGCCTATACCCATGGCATGATGTTCATCGTGGTTTACATTGGCTTCGGTGTTGGAACACCTATCACCATGTACCTCTACCTACCAGTCTTCTTCGAACTGAAAATCATGAGCGTCTTCGAGGTAATTGACGACGAACATTGAACGAACGAACGAAGGCACGATCAACAACCGATCTATCGATCTATCGATCCTTTTTCAATATCCTTTCGTCGAACCTGTATACGGTAGTTCTTGCTACGTGATAATAGTTCGTAAAAGATTTCAATCTCTTGGTTCCATTATTTAAGATGATAACTTATCAATTTTATATTTTTCCAAATCTATCATTATATTTATATACACGTGTAACATTTATTTTATATACCACGACAATCGTTTGGAAACAATTCTTAGCCTGTAATTTATATCAACGATTAATAATTATCTTACGAGAGAAACGTTATTCATCGTATTTAGATTGATCCATTGTTATAAAAAACAAAAAAAAACTGTCGTCAATTATATTTTTTTAATAAGAATTTTAATATCTAACAAAAATTATACGTTGTACGAAATTAATGACGTACAGAATAATATTAACAACATATATACATATTTAATAATTAATTATATCCAAAGTAAAAAAAATAATAATTTGAATTTTTGTATTTTCTATATCCAACAGTATTTAGAAAGAAGATTCGGTGTAAAGGCCAGATTGTTGGCAAGTATAGCAAACTTCTGCCATTTGACATTATACACGGGAATCGTTCTCTACGCTCCCTCATTAGCCCTAGAGGCAACCACCGGTTTGTCTTCAACCATGAGTATCATCTTGATCGGCGTGATCTGTACGTTCTATTCAACGATCGGTGGGATCAAGGCTGTCTTGATAACCGATGTTTTCCAAGGCGTACTCATGTTCCTCTCGATCTTTTGCATTATTACGATCGGTGCCGGTGACCTTCCTAACGGGCTTTACGATGTTTGGAACAGAGCTATGAGGGGTGGTCGCATTGATTTTACCTTGTAAGTGTTTGATTTTTTATTTCTTTTCTTTTTTTGTTTTTTAATCTGTGACTTTGAATTATATAATTAATTAATTAAAAATAATAATAATCCCTCCAGGTGTGGTCTTTTGATCTTATCGATATTGGATGAGATAAAAACATTCTATCATCTTCCGTGATATTAAAAAAAGATCGTTGCTTGAACAGTTACAGTCTGGACCTTACTACACGTCACACATGGTGGGGTCTACTAACTGGCGGATGTTGCATGTTCCTGTCACTTTTTGCCGTCAATCAGGTGCAGGTGCAACGTCTGTTGACCGTCAAGTATGAGAGTTAAATTATTGATCGTTCTCAATCCATAACAAATCGTAAATAGTTAATCTCATTATGTATGATATCTGCTGATATAATACCGTTTGAAGATACAGATTATATCTAAAGGAATAGTTAGGTATTAGTCCAGGTAATTAGTATCAACCTTCACAATATCCTGATACCGCAAGAATATTGACCCTATCTAAAGAGAAAAAAAGAAAAAAAAAAAACAAAAAGTCGAGCTATGATTGATCGCAACTTACAATTAGACGTAAACCGCTATTGAATTCGATTTCTAATCAAAGATAAACATCGGTTTTTCCATCTTCCTTCCCTTAAAGTAGTTGGTCTTATAAATACAACTGTTGATTTACTGTTCCGAATTATTCCTTGTCTGTTAGGAATGCCTTCCGCAATTTGCTCCGGTTATAAGTAGATATCTGGTCTCTGTTAGAATGTTGCAAGATATCATTCTGAGAAGTAAAATTGATTCTATCATATATATCCAAAAATAGGAATTTCCGATTAATTTATCAGATACTTAAAAAAAGAAAAAAAAACGAAAGAAAAATAAACAAAACCTATTAATCATTTTACTAATATATTTTGTGACTATATTTGTAGAAGTTTGAGAGATTCCCGATTAGCCCTGATACTGAACTGGCCAATCATGTTGGCCTTGGCAACCATCACAATCTTCTCAGGTCTCGTCATATACGCCATTTACGAAGATTGCGATCCAGTTAAATCTGGGAGGATATCCTCGTCTGACAAACTCATGCCACTTTTCGCAGCTGAAAGATTATCTCGAGTACCTGGATTCACAGGATTATTCGTAGCCGGTGTATTCAGTGCAAGTCTCAGCACGATTTCAGCAATGTTGAACTCACTTTCCGCGGTTGCCTTGGAAGATTACATCAAACCGATTTACTCGAAAATTGGTGTTACATTCCCCGAAGAAAAAGCTACACTTTTGGGCAAACTACTTGCCGTGACTAACGGATTGTCATGCATTTTTCTAGCTTTGATTGCTGGAAAACTTGGCACATTGATCGAAGCAGCAATCGGATTGATCGGTGTTATCGGTGGACCATTATTGGGTATTTTTACCCTTGGTATGTTTTTGGAAGATGCCAACGAAATTGGTGCAATAGTTGGAATGACTTTTGCACTTATTTTGGGATTTTCTATGGCTTGTGGTCCGAAAGTATCAGGAATTACATTACCTATGTCTATTGATGGTTGTGACAATTCAACTTTAATGATGTTTAATAAAACTATTGGACTGAATTCTACGCTCAGGTATGCTTATTATTAAAATTCTTATGTTTATTACTTTTCACGTTATAATGTTTCACATAGGACGTATATAATTAATTGAATAATTATGTTCGTAAACCACTGATAGATAATTACATCGTTTCACTGAATAACATTACGTTAAAGAGATACTTGAGATTTTCCAGTAATTTACTACACGGAGGAGTAACTTTCTGATTTCTTTTCTATCCACCAAGTATTAAACTCTCTCTCTAATATATACATATAGATATGTATATATATTTATATATATTTCTATACATTTATATACATATGCTTCCGGTAGTAAATTGTACGTTATTAACGACGAGAATAAACTTTAGATTAGCTTGTAACCAATGCAAATATATTAACTTACTTGCTTTCTCCTGATTTCAAATAATTTATCTAATAATTTATATATATGTATATATATGTTTTTCAGTAACGATTCGAACGTCCCGTATTTAAATCGAATCTCGTACATTTGGTATCCCGTAATTGGATTCGTTATGACGGTCATTATTGGATATTTGTCTAGTTTAATAATAAACAAATTTATCAAAGATAGACGGGAACCTGATCCTAATCTTTTCACTCCGTTCGTGGCTGCTAGGATTAAAAGAAGACGTCAAGATGAACAAAGAGTGACATCAAGTCAGATGTTCGTGTTAGAACCGAATTATAGAAAATGAACAATATATCGTATTAACAATAAAACGTTTATATTCATTGTGTTCACAAATTGTAAATAATATCGATGTGAATTGTAAAAATAATTACCAAACGATATTGGTTATCGTATGAATTTTTACAAATAATTGCCAACGAACGAAAGAAGAAAATATCGAATTGTTTAAAAAAAAAAACAAAAAAAAAACAAAAAAGAAAAGTAGGTTTTATGGTAACAATGAAATCAGGCTAATTTGACGGGTGTTAAATTAGCCGATACGTTGATCTCTCCGTTTTACATGATTACGTTGACGCATATCCTTTTCCGCCAATCATGGCTCGTTAAAGCGCAAACTAAAGCAAGAAGTCAAGTGTGTAAAAAGAAAATCTACTACAGTTGAAGTAATAAAGAGTACAATTATATACTTAACATTCCTTTTCCTTTCTTTATTTTTTTCTTTTTATGATTTTTACGCGAAATAATAAAAAAAATCACTTTACCTTTTACGATCGCAATGATAATTCTTTTCAACGACTCGCTCGTTGAAAAACTTGCAATTACGTAGATTAGTCAATTGGTAGGGGTTTTTTTTAAATAAGATTGTTCAGGAAGAGACACACCTAAGTAATCGTAAGAATGACCAACCGATGACACACTATAACGACACACAACCCTTAAAAAAAGGGAGTAACGTGGGAAAACGTGTCCTGCAGTAATATCCTGTATAACATTTTAAGTGATTTCCCCTTCTCTTCCGTATTCTCTATATAACCATAAAATAATTAAATATTCTAAATTAATAATCAATATTCTTGTCCCAACAGTATATTAATATATATGAGTTTCAAAGGGAAAATTGAAGACAGTTAATAAATTTTGATGAACAAATTTATTTGATCTTGTTGAACGTTTCGTCCCTTACTGGGGACTTCCTCAGCAACTCGATCACCTAGTTCACGCGTCAATACATATTA